TATTTCTAAGTACTTTATTCCTTTAGATGCCACTATAAATGAAGTTTTTTTTCTTAATATCACTTTAGGGCAGTATTGCTAACATAGAAAAGTAAACTGATTTTCCCATTGATCTTGTATTCTGCACTCTTGCTGATCTTTTATTAGTTGTGAGTTTGTAGTTTTTTATTTTAGTGGATTCCTTAGAATTTTCCATATACAAGATTATATCATCTAAAAACAGAGATTTTTTAGTTCTTTCTTTCCCATTTGAATACTTTTGTTTCTTTTATTTGCCAAATTGCCCTGACTAGAACCATCAGTACACTGTTGGGTAGAAGCAGTGAGAGTGGACATCCATTCTTGTTCCTGACCTTAAGGGGAAAGTTTTTAGTCTTTCACCTTTAAGTCTGATGTTAACAGTAGCCTTAAGATAAAAGCTCTCACTCCTGGTAACAGAGGGAATAGAATAATCTCATCCATAAAGAATTATAGTGATTTGCCTTGACCATTCCAGTGGCTTTCTGTTTTTGTTTTGACCAGACTAGATTTTACCAGACTTGAACTTGGCCCAGAGCTAAAGCTGCTACCTAGGGACAGTGTTGAAAACATTAACAGGCAAATGCCTTGGTTGCTGCCACCTGAGGTGATAGGTTACATTTGAGGCAAGACTAACCAGGGAGGAAAGTGTGGGCAGTGAGATATCCATGAGGCCTTTGTCAAGCTACAGCATATTCCTGAGAATCTAGAGGGCCACATGCAAGGACAGGGCTGTGTGTGAAGGAAAGATCTAAGAAGGCCCTAAACTGTCACCGCTGAGTGACTCTAAGGCTCTGCCAAAGGCCAAGGCAGAGTTGTAAACTGCCTGGCTGAGTACTGAAGGTGCATCACAAAAACACAAACACACAGTTGGCAAACACTGGGAGAATTTTTCATCCTAGGTGTTTAAGGAAATGCATCCAATCATGAGCTGACCATTAAGCTAACATAACAGAGATACACATGACAAAGGATACAGACTTTACAGAATTAGTTCAGAAAAATTACTAGACAAACAACAACTTGCAGCAGCAAGTCAACCTGGGGAAAGGGTGGGGAGAAGATAAATAATCTGATTTTCAGATTTACCACATTATTTTAAACGTCTTGTTTAAAAAAAAAATTACAAAGCATGCAAAGAAAGAGGAAAATATGGTCCACTCACAGGGGAAAAAAAAAGCAATCAATAGTAATCCTGAGAAAGCCCGGGCACTGGATTTTCTAAACAAAAACTTTAATTTAGCTATTTAAAATATGTTCAGAGAGCTATAGAAAACCATGTTTAAAGAACAAAAAGAGAATGATGTCTCAACCAATAGGGAATATAAATAAATAGAAGTTACAAAAAGAACTTTTAATTCCAGAATTTTCAATTATAGAGTTGAAAAATACAGTAATTAAAATGAAAAATTCACCAGAAGAGCTCAGCAACAGGTTTGAGCAGGCAAAAGACAAAATCTGTGAACTTATAGATCAGATGATGGCCAGTTTGAGGAACAGAAAGAAAAACAAAAAATTGAAGAGAAAGAACAGATCCTCAGACACCTATGGGACACCATCAAGCAAAACAGCATATACATGTGTCTCAAAAGTACAGAGAAAAAAGAAAGCATCAGAAATAATATTTGAAGAGTAATAACTTCCTAAATTTGATGAAAAATATTAATCTACCAACCCACAGGCTCTAAGAACTCCAAATAGGGTAAACTCAAAGATATGTCACTTAGACATATCATAATCAAACTGTGGAAAGACAGAGACTCTTGAAAGCACCAAAGGTGACTCAACACATACAAGGAATCCTTAATAAGATTAATAGATGATTTCTCACCAGAAGCTATGAAGGCCAGAAGGCAGTGAGATGATATAGCCAAAGTGCTGAATGGAAAACACTATGAACGAGGAAATCTATATTCAACAAAACTATCCTTCCAAAAGGAAGGAAAAATTAAGACACTCCAGATAAACATTGTTAAGACTGTTATACAAAGAAATTTCAAAGGGAGTCTTTGAGGCTGAAAGAACACTCGATAGCAACTCAAGTCCACACAAATAAAGAACTGATAACATATAGTAATATGTGGTACATACATTTTAACACCAGACACCAGCATAGGTAAATATAGGTAAATTTAACACAAACAGGTAATTATAAGACAGAGTAAATGTGTTTATTTGTAACTTTTATGCCCTAATTTAAAAGACAAATGCATAAAGCAATATTTATAAATCTACATTGATGGACACACAATTTAGAGATATACTTGTGACAATAACAGCATTGGGAGGAATGGAATTATATATGGAAAAGTTTTTGTTTATATTGAAATTAAGTTGATATTAATCTAAACTAGACGGAATAGACCAGTTCTAGAATATCTTCTAAGATTCTCTTTATACTTTTTTATCACCATCTTATCTTTTCATTTTTTATTTTGCTTCAGATTTCATAATCTCTATCAATCTATATTCAGGTTTACTGATTCCTCTGCCAGCTCAAATCTGCTGTCTCTAGTAAAATTTTCACTCTGCTTATACCTTCCAACTCCAGAATTTTCGTTCAGTTCTTTTTAAAAGTAATTTCTATTTTCTATTTAAAGAAACATTGTCAGTATACTTTAATTCCTTAAATCTGACGTCTTTAGGTCTTCATATAGTAGCTGTTTAATATTTATTCTCTAGTATAAATTAATGTTTCTATTGCCTGCTTCTTCCTAAGTGTCACACTTATCCTAAATCTTTGAATGGCTCTTAATTCTGTATTGAATACTGGGCATTTAAATTACATTGTAGCATCTCTGCATACTGGTCCTCCTCCCTCATTTTTGGACTTTGTGTATTTAGTGACTTGGCTGCACTACTTCAGTCTATTTCCCCCCCACAGTGTGCAGTGATGTTCCTGCTCAACTTGTTTCCCCTAATTTTTATCAGTAAGTCTGACTTCCTGAGGGTTATTTTTGAATCACCATTTAGTGATCAGCCACTGGTTGATCAGAGAGAGGTGTGCTTAAGCCCCCAAATAAATGAAATTTGAATCCTTTGCCATTGGATTTGCTGGTGGCTTGGAGACTGCTTTCACTATTTATGGAGTTTACAAGTCTTTCCCTACATTCAGTCAGGGACTTAAAGTTCAGAAGTTCCCTCTCTGGTTATTCCTATGTGGCTGCAGCCTTGAGCATGGACACTCTTTCTGATCACAAAGGATATCTGTGGTTTTATCCGGACTTTTTGTCTCTAAGCTTCTGGCTGGTATCTACTGATATCACTAGCAACTGTTAGCCTCCATTAGTTGCTAGTTCATTGCTCGTTTTCAACATTGTTCTGGGGTATAAAGTCAGGCCCCTTATAATTGGCAGTGTGTTGTCAAGACTTTGAAACTCACTACAACCCTCCCCTGAACAGAACCTCTTTGCCTCTGTGCTAGAGGGGTTCAATGGGCAGGGAGGTGAGGAGTGGGGGGTGGCAGGGTTGGGAAACTGGCTCTTCATTAAATGTCCCCCATATCCTCTGCTGAGTAGCTATTTGGGGGGATGGGGTAGGGCACAGGGGGAGAATGTCACCTCCAGTATGGATCTTTCATAGTAAGAATCAGAATATGGGACCTGCTAATGTTCACCAGCTGCTAAATGTACATAGGACAGCTCTTTGACCCCAGAAAGCTGGGAGAGATATAAGCTGTGAAAGTTCACCAGAGCACCTATTTCACAACAGAGCTGTGTAAGGAAGGGGGACCGCACAATTCAGTAGCTGCCCTGCCTTATTTCTCTTTACATTACAGGAGTTGAGAGTGGGGAAATGGGCAACCACTAACCAACTGCCACCACCTACTTAATGGGACACAGGTATGGAAAATGCAATCTACCAAACTATATTTCATCTTACACCCAGAAACTTGTTTACCTCCCAGTTAGGTTTTGTGGTTTTTCTTTTGGCAGCTTCACAGATATGTTGTGGCTCTTAGTATAAATAGGTCTTTTATTGTTTCCCAACTGATTTTCAGTGTACTCCTTTCAATCCTTAAAATATTGAAATTGGGTCATTTACAAATACTATTTTGGTTTCTCCCTAAGTTTTTCATTTTGCTTTCCTGTTCTTTTACCTTGGCGACAACTGATGAAATAATTTATAATATTGAGTATCTGTGTTTCATTCCTTAGTTTGAAAGCAGCAATTTGGGGTGCAACCTGAACATAACAACCTTCACTTTTGGTTGAAGGCCTCTTATGTATTAAGAAAAGAATTCTTCTTTTAACATACTCAAAATGCCTTTACTAGGAATAACTATTTTATGATAAGCACATTCTTGGCATTGACTAAGATTATGATTTTTAAAATTGATGTACACTATGTTAACATTTTTCCTACACTATTTACTCAAACTTTTACACTGCCATAACAATAATACTCACTTTTTAAAGCAAGGTCTTAAATTTTGGGCATTTATTAACAGACCTTCTAGACAGAGAACCACTCAAAAAACAATTCAAAGTAGACTTTATCAAACAAAACATCTCTTCCAAAAATACTATTTCTCAATTGTCCAGTTAGTAAGGGAAGCAACAATTAACACCAAAATCAAGTAGGCTGATCATATTTTAACTCTCCATTACAGAGAAATTTTTCTAATGCTATACTCTTAACTAGCAAGAAAAATGCCCTGAAAATTCCCCCAGCAAGTTTCAACAGATAAGATCCCCAATGGAATTCAAGGCACTTTGCTGAAAATATGGATCCTAAAAAATAGTCAAGGCAAGGAACAGGGTCAATACCCCAACATAAATGGGACATATCCCAAGTTCAGTAAGCAGATGTCAATAGTGGAAAGGAATCACTTAAATAAAAAAAAAAAAAAGTCAGCTGTATGGAAATAAACAATATTGTTTACACTGTACCTCCACTCTCACCCATCCCAAGAACTATATTACTTTTTCTGAACAGCTATTTCAAATCACTTAAAGAACTAGTATCTATTTCTCATGTAATGGACACAAATGCTCACAGCAATTGTTTGATCTCATTTTTAATTCCTCTGTAAATAGCATTAACCTTAGCACACAAATGACCTACTACTTTACCAGTAACCCTTTCCATCACATTTCTCTTCAACTTTTAAACGTGTCTACATTGGTAACTTGTTTTTATACTTGGTAAATTTACACAGTTGGCATACATAATAAAAAATTATCAAACTTCTGTTAAGAAAAATCCCACTCGAAGAGCAGACCTTTGAGAGAATTAAAGGAGTTGGTAAACTATTTGACAGGTCATTCAGCCCACTGCCCATTTTTAAAATGAAGTTTTATTAGAACACAGGCATCCTCATTCAGTTAGGTATTAGCGATGGCTTCTTCTGCATTATGATAGAGTTGTTATGACAGACTAAATGACCTACAAAGTTATTTACTACCTGACACTTCACTGAGAAACTCTGCTGACCCCTTAGTAAAACAAAATTTTTTTATAGAAAACGATTACAGTTCCATCTCTGCTATTAAATGCAGAAAATTAAACTATTTAAGTGAATGCCGAACAGTTAGGCTCATTTCAGTGGAGGTGGACAAATAGAAAACTATGAAATCAATTCCTGACCCAGAAGCTGGATTACAAAAATTAAAGTAATTCTTCCAGTTGTAATTAGAACCTCAAACTACTGGATATTCATATTCATATTTTTAAGAGCCATCTTTAGCTCAGTTTCAGCCAGGAAGACAGAAAAGAACAGAAGGCTTTGTTTTTTGATTTTTTGGCTCTGGCAATGAAGAGGCTCCAAGCAGGTTTGCCTCTTTCAGAATAACCTAAATTAATAAAATCAGAAAAGGCACTAATTAGAATATCTGAGGCATGAAGCTTTTTAAATTAGCTTTTTAAAAAACTTTCAGGAAAAAAGTATCAATCTCAAAGTAAAAAACATTTTTACTGGATGGCTATGGCTATTCTGAAATTTATTTTTATAGTGCTGTAAACATTGGCAAGATAATTCCTTCTATTTTCACTGAAGGTGATGCATAATAATAGCTCGAACCATAACAATAGTGTATCGGTTTTATTGCAGTTAGGGTAGTGGAGAGCCTAAGCTTCTTTATGCCTTTCCTTAACAGCACAGCCACAGTAAAACTATGGTAAATGTCACCATTTTCAAATAAAATTTCACCTATGATTTTAAGGGGGAAAAAACCCCACACTTTATTTTGCATAGTTGACTAGTATTAAAATAAACTTTGAAATCTAAGTATTTCCCATTAAATAAAATCCTCAATTTTAGCACAGTAAAAAAAAAATTGTATAAACACAAACTTAAGATAAATTTAATTGAAAACATTCATAACAGAAGTTAACAATGCTTACCATTCTTTAAACACCATATACATTATTAATATATACTGTGTATTTGCAATCAACTCCATTCTTAGGCTCAATTTAATAAACACAATTATAACAGGTTTTATACAAAAAATACTTCACTAGGAAAGTAGACAAACTGCACAAAAACAGTACACGTATAATGTGCATAGCAAGATAGCTTGAAGCATGTATGTGTATGGCTTTCTTTAAAATAGAACTACTGGGAGAATGGCCCCATTTGGGACCTACTGTTACAGTTGACATATGTAAACTGTTTCACATCTTTGAGGCACTTGCTAACAATAGTGTTCAATCCCTGAAAAATGAGTTTACCCAGAAAAAGAAAACTGTACATCTAAAATAAAAACCAAGAAAATAACGTGGGTAAAGTCTCATATATTCCTTTTAAATTAAGCGTTTTATTAGTGCATGCACAGAACTGAACTGAAAGAAAATAAGCTTTTTATGTCAAAAGTTTCTGTGCAAAATTTACATAACTGAAAGATACAAAAATATGTACAGGTTTAAATTCTGTTATATACAGAAAAGAAGCCCTGAAGTTTTCAATGAAAATGTCCCTTCACACTCATAGTAACAATGTAACAAAAAATGATGTAGAATTTTGTAATACAAAATCTCCATTATACAATGACCCAAGAAAATTTTAACCAAACTCACATGGTGAAAAGTTTAAATAGATGATTCTGTTATCACCAAAATATCCATTTTAAAACTCTTATCAATTGGGCATATCCCCTAGGAAACTGTCCTGACGTTCATGCACTGCCACTGAGAGCAGTATTTAATGCTTCTTCATTTTCAACTACCAACAATCAGTAAAAAGTCTGTGTTGGGTTGCCAGACATATTGAAAAGTTGCTGACAAAAATGGTTTGTCACAATGTGGACATTTTCAGATAGTAATTAAACACAGATGCAAAAATATATTTGCTTTGCTAATCTTGCTTCAAAATATTGTTTCTGTAGAATAATTTTTATTTTCGAGAAAAGCCATTCCCTTGAAGTGCTCCTATGTTCCACTTTTTTTAAAGGGAAGGCAACCAAGAAAAAAAATGGCCGTTTGATCTGTAGGAAATAAAAATTAAAATAAAAAAAGTATCATTTTCTGCCAAAGGCTCTCTAGAAATGTAATCAAATTCAGGAAAATGTTCAAGTTCTTTGACTGGAATTCAAAACTCAACCAAGAGAGTTTAGTTCTTCTCTTGAGATTACCATGTACTGCAATGCTTCATTTAGAAAAAACAAATTATCTTGAAAGGGTGTTCCAATTTGACATATATACAACTTAAAAGAGAAATATTTACTTGTCAAATGTCAAAAATTCTTTTCAAACATCATGAGGTGTTAACTGTATTGAGTTAAATGCACTCTCAAAGGAGCGTAATACCCTTCCAAAAAACTATATATATTTAGCAGATGGAGAGTAAGTTCTTTACCCAAGCTCGCCTGGTTTATCTTCACAAATGATGAGAAACTTCTTCAGCCCCATGGTGAAAGAGCTCTCCATCTGCAGAGGAGCTATACTCTACAGATTTATAAGGCTGGTGGAGGAAGAGAGGGTATGGGGCTGTTAGCCATTACCCTCTATTAAGTCACTAAAGAACTAAATTGGGAGAACTGTTTCATCAAAATTTTCTTTAGCCCTAACTTCACAACACATTTAAAAAAATTAGGTCAAGGTACATCTGTGCTGTGATCAGTTTCTTTCAAAACATGTATGCAGTGATAGCATTTTCAAATATCACACATAAAACTTCTGCTCTTCCAGGGAAATATAACCAATTTTTAAATGTTTAATTTCAGGTACTATACTGAAGTAGAAAATGTCTGCATGAAGGTAATTCAACCCACTGTTTTCTTTTAAGATAATTTTACTTTTCTTTTCCTTGGTAATTACAGTAAATTACTCTAATATATTCCAATCACGAGTAGCTTCCATTAAATGTCTCTGCCCATGACCAGCCCAAGCATCCTGATTGTCAAATACTCTACCACAAAACCAACAGTTAAATTTAGCCTTCAGAACATTTTCAGAGGTAGTTTTCACAATCTGATAATTGTTTTTACTTGTCTTTTTGAGTGTTAGTTTTAGCACAAATCTTTCTTTCACAGAACTAACAGGTTTAAATGGTTGGTGCCTCTTGGGAAAGTCATCATAAGCTGTTTTAGAAGGGTTACAACAAACTGGTTTCAGTAGAGCATTGATAGTTCTTTTTGACAATGAAACTTTAAGTACACGTCCATTATATTTCGCAATAGTTTTCATTACATTTGCTACTTCTGGTGCATCTGCATCAGGATGATTCAAAACTACAACTGGTTGGTTTCTTCTAGGACATTTCACAAGCTGTTTAGAACTAAAGGGGAAAAGCTGTAAAATTCTGACTGTATCTTTTGAAAGCCTAGGTCTGCTAAATCCAAGTGAATCAGGGACGGCTTCAGGTTTAGCCTTTTCTTTACACTTTCTATGTAATGTTGCTTTTTTTCTTGGAGGTTCTTGGTAACTATCCCTACACTTTCGTTTGCAGTTTCTGTTTCTAGATACGAAGGCAGTTTCAGAATCGTTACTTCTTACATGAGTTTTTATTCTTGAAAAATTTTTTTTGGACGTCTTTTTTCTATTGAAGCTTCTTTCAATTGTACAATTTGTTTTGCACCTTAATACCCTGGCTTCTGAATGGTCACCGATACACACTGGCTGCTCCGAAGATTCTGGGCATGTTGCAGAAGTTATCACAATTTCATTTGCTGGCATCATATCTAGCAAGGGTAAGGCATCTCTAGAAGATTCTGGCTCTTTCTGTTCTCCTCTTGTAGTGTGACTAGATGGTACACTGTCTTTCTGCAATAAGGATGCAGAGTTGCTTACTGATAGATTAGCAGCAGTCACATTCAACACAGGATTAAAGATTTTCAGCAATATTTTTTGTGGTGTTCCTTCAGGTTTCTTTGGCTGTATATTTTGATAGTAAGAACTACTTTGGACTAATTTAGGCTTAAGCAGCTCAGTCTTATTTGGCATCACACACTTGAAAAAAACAGCTTGTTTGCCATCAGGCAAGAGGGTATAAAGATGTGGTTTTGGAAAAATTTCATCCTGCTGTTTTCCTGAATCCAAGATACCCAACTTAGTGCCCAGATGCTCAGATGTTATGTTAGGTGTAGGAACAGCTTTCACTGAAGAACCTGCTGATGTTTTAATAACGTAAGGGCCTTTTAATGGCAAAGTATTTTCTGAGCTACTTTTCATGCTCAAACAACTGCCAATGCTAGAACAAAGTGCAGGTGTCAGACAATTACCGTTTGGTTCTACCTTTAAAAAAGGTGTGCAAGGCTCCTTAGTTGTAGTTCCACAAGCTGAAGCATTCTCAGTTTTGACAGTGGAAACACCTTCAAGTTTCCCGTTATTAAATGTTAAAATCATCCCAGGTTTCTTGTTTAAAAGAAGAGAAGCAGGTACACCTTGTGTATTAACGAACGGAAGTGGGCTTCCTGAAACAACATGTAGTCCAGGCTTGTTAGCAAAATGCAATGGTACAAAAAAGCCTTTTGGAGTCTGAACAAATATAGCTTTCTTTGGTTCTGAATTTAGAAGTGGAGTCTGCCTGTGTAAAGAACCTAAATTTTGTGTAGTAGCTCGTAGTTTGTCTTTTACAAGCTGCTGTGTTATTATTGCATCTGACTGAGTCTTAAGTAATGTGCCAATCCCTGAAATTCTAGGTTTCTTCTCTGAATCTCTCACCTCCTTTGACACTGACATCACTTGTTTTTCTTTTCCACTACATTTTAAATTCAGATCATGTGTAGGCACATTAATCCCCACACTACCAGGTGGAACTGGGATGACGCCTTGTATTTTGAAGTCTTTTGAAGAATCAACTATTTTGCCTTCTCCAGCATGTTTCTGAAATGACTGGTCACAACGAAGTGGCAGGTCATTATTTGGATCGTTACTAGGGTCTTGTTTTACATCAGATTTTACATTTAGTACATCCTGAAGTAACTGGTTTACTTCAGGTGGCAAAAATTCTGATGCCTGTTTGCTCTGGAGAGAAAAAACAGATGTGATTCTAGGCATCACAAGTGACTCATCACTAGAAATGTCATTCCACTTAGACTTTCCGCTCTTGCTCTCTAAATTTTTACTTTCATTGGTATATAGGTTTTGTCCATCAATGTTCTGTCCTTCTGAAACACAATGTTCTTTAATTTCAGCTTGAGCTTTAAAAGTTCCATCTTTAGTATGTGAAAAGCTAATAGATGTTACCAGGCTATCTGGATTTGAGCTCTCCTTCCTCACTAGTGATAAAAATGATTCATTTATTGGTTGTTGAACAACTGTCTTGCTTGATGAAAATTCTCTTTGAGGGTTTTCACACACAGCTGTTCCTGAAAACCTATGGCATTTATTAGAATTATTCATTTTGGAGTAATTATGAAAAGGTAATGATCCTTGGTTGGAAGATTCAACAGGTGACTCAGAGTTGACATAATTAATGCAGTAGTTGTGCATATCTCCACTGTTGTATGCATTTGGTTTGGTATTACAGCTGACTTTATCTGGACTTTTAATGGCAGTACCTGATACCTCAGGATGACTCTGAGTAATACCGCTTCCCTGTAAGTCAACACTGTCTCTTGTTTCAGCTTTTGTGGTCAAATTCCCTGATATGGTAACGAATTCTGATGTTGGCAAGGAAGATACACTTTTTTCATCTTCCACTGTTTGAAGCATCTTACTCATTTGCGATAGCAAAGTCATTTCTTTTCCTGATGTTACTTTCCCTGAAAATAAAGGAGATGAACATGAAAATGGAGTTGTTGTTTTCATGTAAACTGTGTCACTTAACTCAGCTGTTACTCCTGTTAAAAATCCAGTGGTGTCCAAAGTCTGGGGCTGCAAATTAGCAGTACTGTCTTTTGCAGCACCTGACTGTGAGCCCGGTGAATATAAATTCTGTTTATTAGTAGGCAACAGTTTTATTACAATATGCTGTTTTCCATCCACCATCTTAAAGCCCATAAACTTAGCACTATAGTTAGCAGGAATTGTTATTCTATTATTTTTCACTGTTAATACTGTAGGTCCTTGCACAACAGTCTTCAAGAAACCTGAAGTAAAACCTGATCCCTCTGATTCATCTCTATTACTTTGCGCAGTAGACAGAAGAGTTGGCTTTTCAGATTCTAACTCCGCAGGTTTATCATTATTCTCACAATGCAGTCTTTCATCTTTTTCTTCATTTAAATGTTCTTGAACAAGATGACTGTGGTCTTCAGATTTAGCTTGTGTGTTGTTCACCTTTTTAAGCACTTGACTGTTTTTTTCTATACATCTGTCACTTCCATTGTTGATTTTCTTTTGTTTCCAGAATGTCTTCCTTGATGCACCTATTTTGTATCTTTTCAGTATTAGCTTAAGTCCTGCTGAAGTCTTTGCCATCCTTTTTTCATTTATGTCTTTTTCCAGTTTTTCTTTTGCATATAAATGTTCTTTGTGCAAAGTTATAACATGTCTTATAAGATGCTCTCTCTTAGTGACACCATAGCTACAATATTGACAAGTAAAGGGAAATGTGCCAGAATGACCATGAAGGTGCTTCTGAAGCTCTCCTTTGGTAACACATACATGATGGCACTTACCACATTTATAATGGCTTTCATTATGTCTATGAATGTGCTGAACAAATGTGCCAACATCTTGAGTGGAGAATTTGCACTTTTCACATTGAAAATTACCATTAACACAATGTGTGGATGTAAAATGTTTTGTCAAGTCTAGTAAAGTATATACAATTTCGTTGTTACAAATGTCACATTTTACTAAAGTGCTTCTATGTGTTCGTCTGTGTTGTTTAAATACCTGGAAGTCATTTGCTGAAAAATTGCACATTTCACAAGGATATGAAGGTAATTCACCATGGTGCCACATTTGAAAATGTTTCTGCAAATCATTTGGGCTATAGCGAATGCTATCTCGGCATTTTGAACAGTTGAAATTGAGTATTTTTGCAGACATTTTTAAACTCTCCTCTTCACTTCTCTTAGAATTATGGAGCAACATACACTCCTCTATACAGCTTACAGTCTTTATATTGACAGATTTTCTTGCAGTCTGTGGCTTAAGCTGAAATAATTTTCTGTATTTGTCAACTTCATGTTTCAACAGGACTTCACTTGGAATATTTATCTTCGGCAAATCGATTTTCATGTTTTTTAGTTCATAATGAATATTATTTTCTGAAATTTTCGGTTTAAGTACTGATCTGATAGCATCAACTATCTCATTTTTCATGTACGTAGTTTGTTTTTCATCAAACAGTAACTGTTTCTGTTCAGATGGCATGATTTAACAAAAAAATCCCAATTTCTTTTTTTCTCAAAACTCCTGAAGTTACTTGTAATTTAAACAGGAAACAATACTGTGCTGAGACATCTTCAAAATACCAGGATTTTTCCCAAATTAACTCACCTAAAATCAAACAGAGTTGAAATTTTCATCACAAAAGTATAGGTAAATTTTGTATTTTTAAATTCATTTTGACACAAAGTAAGAATGTTGATCAAACAAATAAATAAAAGATATAAAAGGTCTCTTAAGTATTTTAGGAACAGCTTACCAAGAAGTAATAGTTTGAAGTATAAATAACACCAATCTGGAAATCAGGAAATAGAAGCTTTACTTCCAGCTCTGCTCTGTGACACTGGGTAAGCTTCAAATTTCTCTGCACCACAGTTTCTTCATCTAAAGAAACCACAATTGGGTAAGTGCCCTTAAGCCCAAAGTTTTTTTTATATTAAGTTGATACAATAATTTTTAAACAAGAATATTTAATATCTTAGTAAGAACCATAAAAACTAGTTCCAGTTACACACATGTGGTTCCAATTACACACATTAACATTCTCACTTGTTTAGCGGATACCATAGCCATTACTTTGAAAATTTCAACTGACTTCTCTCCAGATTTTCTATTTCCTTAGTGCCTCAGGGGCCACTGATGTTTAAAATAAAAGTTTTCATTTAACAACACCAAAAAGACATCTGCTCTCTCAAGTTATCATTACTAACTGATTAAACAAAGAAAAAAGAAGAGATTAAAAGGTAGAGTCCATTCTCCGTGGTATTGCTCAAGGCCACCCCTACTACCTTTCTGGTTCCCCACCATTCAACTGGCTTTTTATCCATAGAACTCAGGCATATGGCAACAAGGAAATCCTTGCCATATCAGAATGCACCCATTCTGTGTACCCACCTAATGTACGTGCCTCCATTAATTCAAACACTTACTTGTCTGTGTTACTCTAGACAAGCCTCAATCTCTGTGTCTTAATTTCTCCATCTACAAGTGGAGAAAAATAGAAATAAATTAGTACTTCCCCTCTTTCACAGGGTTGTTGTGAAGATTAAATGAGAAAACATATGTAACAGTATCCCGTAAAGTGCTATACAAATTGTAGCCACCATCATTTTATGTGATTACCATGTATGAGACACTATGATTCAAACTGCAGAGGAATAAAAGTAGTAAAGTAATAAGATGTCACAATATACTGGTGAGATTGAAATCGAATTAGTGAAGTTTCGATAGTAGAAATATAACAACATTTTCTTAATTTTCTGATCTTAAATATGTATACAAATAATAGATAAAACTAGAAAAAGAAAAGTGTAAATCACTTGAACCTTCAACCATAATGTTTATAAAAAGGTCTCAGCTTTAATTTTCAATTAATTGAAATAACTAGGAACTTCAATGTTTTAGAAATCCTTTGAGGGAATATAATCAAATTAAATCACTACATATTAAGAGATCCCCCCCCTTTTAAACTCTTATTTCCTATGCTGTACTTTTCAACCCTGTGACTTTTTCACTTTATAACTGAAGTTTATATTTATACTCCTTTATCCCTCTAAGTTTATATTTATACTCCTTTAGCCCTTTTAATATTTCTCAAGCATGGTACTTTTGGTTAGGTCTAAGACACATTCGTCAATATTCTTCTTTATGTTAAACTGATAATGACTTCATTAGAAGGGTACCAGTTTACTGAATTTCTTTTACATATTATGTCTAATTAAGTAAATTTTATTTACTTTTTTTTTACTATATTATTTAAAGCTAAATGTAAAAACTTTCTCTTCAAAAGTGAGAAAAATAATAAATGGCTAGAAAAAAGTTCCGTGATACCTGGTAGATACTCCAACTGAGATGATTTACACAGTGTCACATTCTCAACAGTGACAAGTGTCATAATCACCTATGACGTTTGCACCATACCAGATTCTGAGGGTAGAATCCAAACATGTGAAACTTTTTAAGCATACCCAGTAATGGTCCTTCTCTGTTTGCCAGAATACCATATTGTGGTCATTCTGGATCAATACCCAAGTTTTTGCATTACTGTATATAATCAAGAGGCAATAGTATCATGGATTTCATTGCAAACAGCAAATTGCTTCTTATTATGATATTACATGTGTCCAAAAATATATGTGCAATGCTAAAAAATTAGATTTTTATATTATTTCTAACCACCATAATTCCATTTCAAAATTATCTACACAATTTAAAATATTTCTTACAACATATCCCAAAGTCCAACAATCAGTATAAAAATATGATTTTTAAATAACTCAGTAAACTAACACTTACTAATAAATAACCTACTATGAATGAGTTATTTTGATGGGAGCTTTGCTAATGATTCAAAACCATGGACTATAACCTGCAATCTAAAGGATGAGGCATGACATTTATTATTAATACATTACTTAGATCTGACCATCCAGCAACCTCATCCTTCTAGTACACAAAGAATAGAAAATAATTAAGTAGGATGCATGGCAGCCAAAACTGATACCACAAACTTCACCCACTAAAGTGCATGTTCCTTCTTCATAAGCAAAACAATTTGATAAAAGGGACCACCTTTTTGAGAAATTCACTTAGCTCTTTCTTAAGTTTGATAACTACTAAGTAATTAATGTTGAATGCCAACATTTCTTACATTTCATATATGGCATATATAATACAATATTAGGGTAGTTTGTATATTTTAGGTAGTTTGGGATTTGTTATTTACCCTCAAATTTTAAGTTTGGAGAATCTATTTTGTCTTTATGTTCAATCTGTAGTATGTGGAAGCAAAGATACTTGGTAGCAAATTATACTAGGGTTGCTACCTATAGGCAAAAAATTTGTTATGTTGTGAGTATCTCGCATGACATAAAAAAAGGAAAGAAGAATTATAATTTTCATCTTCCAACCTATTAGTTAATGCTCTTTTCATATAGTCCAATCTCTACACCACCAACAAAGATGACTTATCTTAAATCTCCCATTTAAACTGCTACTTTCTACAGATGTACTATTACTTCACAAGACCACCAACATGTCACTGACCCTTGAAATAACACCATTTGTATGAAGTATGACTGGCCCTTTAAAGTAACCTAGGGAGTTTCCTGCATCAAGATGGCAACTTAAACCATTTGATTTCTCCCCTCCCCCAACTGCCCATTGAAACATAAATGAAAAAATTTAATAAAGAAAGCCCATCCCACAGAGGGGCTATAAACTAGAAAAACATTCCATATACATATGGCAAGGTGTTTAGTGGGACATGATCCAAAGAGAAGAATGAAAACAAACCCTGACTCTGCCAAGCACCAATTTCAAAGAGGAAATCCACTGGGGGATGTTCATTCAGCCAATTATGAGTATCTATGTATTATGCCCTACACACGGAAATGCAGGACATAATTCCACCCACTCCTTCCCCTTTACATACCTAGGGAGAGAAAGATCATGTGGAGCCCTTTGGAGTAAAAAAAAGCTCAGGCTGAGGTATGAGGAGGAAGAGAATAAAATCCAGAGCTTTGAGCTGGGTCCGGAGGCCAGACAGAGTTGGGAGTTGCTAGCACCAGCTATCAAGAAATATGTAAAGAGGAAATTATTTCTGAACAAAGATAAATCTTCCTATATCCATGGCTATATTCTTCTGCTTAAAGAGTGTTGTGCTTTCTCCATACATGTAAATAAGGACCTCTAAGCTATGAGAAAAAATTACATGTAACTTTCCCCCTTCTTCTTACTAAAAAAATGAGAAAATCTTGGTTTATTCGCTAAGAATTCATCCCAACTACTGACAGAAAAGATGAGCAGGCAGAACATCACTAGATGCAGTAGCTCAAAAAAGGGAAAATACTCTGAACACTCAGAGAAACCTCTCCCCCATTTTCAAAAAACAGTGACTATATTAAAGTTATTGCAGGAAAAAGGGGAGAGCTTAGAAAAAAAACAAGTAATAATTGGCAATCTCAGTTAAGACCCGAGATCACATCCTGAAAATAACATACTGCCACGAAAGAGAGAACAAAGTAGATGAAGGAGAAATAATGATTTTGAAAACAAGATAAAAGAAGTTTTTAAAAAAGACTTCAATTTTCAAAATCAAAAGCTCCCCAAATGCCAAGCAAGGTTATTAGAACTTATCCTAGTAAAATTTTTTAGTGTAAAAGATAAAAGTGAAATGCTACCAAAAACCAAATGTATTTGATTTTTCATCAGCAATACCAACTTGAATTAAACAACATTTTACTCACAATTCCAAATACTAGGAGACAATGGAATAATATTTATAGATTTCTGAGGGAAAAGGATTAACCCAAGAATTACTTCTGTACCCAGGAAAACTCTAATATATGAGGGAAAAACACAATTTTAGATATGCAAAGATGCAGAGAATATACTACATATGTACCCTTTTTGGATAAAAAGTTTCAAGTACTTCAGCAAAACCAAATTTCCACAAGAAAAAAACAACTAAAAAGGAAATAATGTGATACAGGAGAAGTATCTGTCAACAATAAAATCTACAAAGAAACAAATATAAATATTTTGTTAATACAGTTAAGAAAGAAGACTGGAGAAGGGAAACATTTAAAACATGACAAATGTATAGGAAGCCCTTAAAGAAAAATTAACAATGGATACAGGAGAGGTGACAATACCAAGAAAATGCAGATGTTCAGAAGATAAGTAGTAAATAAACCTTGCAGACCCAAGAAAACTTAATCCCAAGCAGATTGTGGGGAAAGCTAAGAACTCACTTCAAAAGCCTTCAAACTGGTAGCACCAAGCAACTATGAATGGGAAGGGAGGAGAAAGCTAAATTAAACAAATTTGGAGAAAGCTCCTTGAATTCTGGTTAGATGCTAAGATTCCCTTCCCCACTCCATCATGCTAGGTAACTGTTATTCCCCACCAGTGCAGAAGTCCAGAGGCATATTCTCTGCAGAAAAGTAAAACAGAATCTATGAAAAGGGGAGAGCAGACAACACTGAGACAGTGTGTACCACACCAAAAGCAAGAGGATTAAATGACAATGTGTGGCGCGTGTGTGTGTACTACTAAAAAAACAAGGTC